TTTGGGAGTTACTTGTGTTCACCGAGATTGACTTCGGATATTTTGGTTTCGTTGTCATGAAACTACACGTGCCGGTGTAGGCGTAGATGGCCACTTTGTGGTATAGACTATGACAGAGTGCTCTCCCTCGAGAGAGTACTATTTTGTAATATTATTAACATGGCTGAGTTGATTCGTACGACACTACGATGAGACGACCTGAGCAAGTAGAGTATATGATACTTGCCGCTAGGTACATAACCTAGTTGACCTTCTTATGTCGGTGATGGTATAGTACTCCCACTGAAAGGTAGGGATGATTTTCTTATGTTTAGGCCTAAGGAGTCGAAAGTGATTTCGATGACTTAAAGCAAATGGAATGATTTTGCGTGATTTTTATCCAAAATCTTGGATTGATGTAAATGTTTTAAAATTTTATATTGTGGGTTATATTTCACTTGGTTGTTATTTAAAATAACAAGGGTCATGAATTGATAAAATTTCTTATCGTTTTATATCAAATATTGGTACATTATTTTTATAAAATTTGTCCCTAAAACTTAAGTTAGAGAGAGTCTATGACACTTATTGAGTACTGTTGTGGTGTACTCAGCCCTTAGAGGCCCCCCTCCAGGGCCGCCCTGCTTACTATACATATTTCAGGATGATGTATGATACGTGACATGCGGTCAAGCTAGGATAGACTCTCTTTCTGAGGTATTATGAAGCACCACTTTTATCTCGTGGTAGCTATCATGTTCTTTCTTATTTTATTTTATTGGAATTACTCCAACCGTTGGTTCTATTCTTGGTATAGAGGCTCCATAGATAGTTGTGAAAGGTTATAATAACGGGGTTGTACACGACATACATGAAAGCATATTTATTTTACTTAGTCTCATTGTTATTATCATGAAAGACGTCATGTGTGATTTTGAATTGGAAAAATATTTTATTATTTAACTTGAAAATGTATATGATTTTCAAGGAGCTTCCGCAATTAAATTAATTTTCATGCATATGATTTGGGTGCATCACTTAGTTTGGTTCGCTCGGGTCGGGTAGCGTGCCGGGTGTCGGTCACGTGGTTTTGGGGCGTGACAAAAAACCTTTCACATAATCCAATGATTCAAAAGTAATATTCTTCAACGAAAAAAATATTATACTCTTGTAATATTGGCTTGACTGCAACTAAATGAAGGGGTTTCAGCTTATACCTTTCAATTCCTAGAATGTGCTAAATTAAAATTAATGATAGCAATTGTATAGCAAACTGTTTGATGTCCATTTATACAAATTGACTCTTCAAACAAATATTATTCAAAAAGAAAAGAAAAAAATATCTTTTTTTAATAGACTGATTTTTCTGATGTTTCTTTCTCCAGCATGTATGTTTACTTCATTATATATGTAAGTAAACTTTTATTCGATTTTTAAACTCTTTTTTGTTATTTGGATAAACATAGACGTGTACCTTATATATTACATTTATTTTAAAAGAAATTCGCTTTATTCAAATCTAGCTACACTGTTTTAAAGAACTATAATTATAGGGTTTTAAATGTGAAAGAGTTTTATAGTTATATGGAGTAGCTTTTTTTTTTGGCCAGAGGCGAAGTAGTATTTAAATAATTAGAAAAGATAACAAAAGTTCTTAACATGATTGCATATAATCATTAACCGAATTAAGTATGATAACATGATAAAAAAAAAGTTAAATTTTTATTTTTAATTTAAATTCAATTTTTAAAATTTTACCTATAAATTCAAAATTATCTTTTAATTCAAATTCATTTATATATATATATATATATTATCTGTATTTGACCAACATAGTCAAATATAGAATAAAGTTTTCATATACTATTGATATTTATTAGTTTGCCACTTGACTTAACCATAATATCAGTTATATATGGTAACTTTATTCCTTTAATATAGATATAGATAATTAAGGGAGCTCCAATGAGAAATTGGTAGATTATAATATGCATCTAAATTTTCGAAAAGAAAGATCCAAATTTACCTTTAACTCCTCATTATTGTTTAAAGTTACCTTCAACTTAGAACTTTATAATTAGGGGTCAAGGACAAAATGAGACTCTTTTCTAACAGGGGAGGGAATAATATTAGACTACAAATCTACAATAACATACCTAGTATATTTTCACATGTGGGGTCTAGAGAGGGTAGTGTATACAGAGGTGGAGTCAAGACTTGAACCTTATGGGTTCGGGGTGCTAATATTTTTAAGTTACTGGGTTTTAAATTAATAATATGTACATATTCAATTAATTTTTCAAGACAAATATATGGATTGGACCAAAGTGGTGAGTTCAGTCAAACTCGTACTCAATGGGCTAGCTCCGCCCCTGAGTGTATACACAGACCTTACCCCTATTTTGTGATTAGACTAGAAATCTAATTGCTTAATTTCGAGTGGTACAAGAGCTAATTTGAACCTTTTCCAAAAAGAGAAGACCTTGAGTTAGGGTTGTGCATGGATCGGATCGGATCGGATTTAGTACATTTCGGATCGGATTTTTGGATTTCGGATTCTAGAAAATGCAATCCGAATTCGATCCGAATTAATATCGGATCGGATCGTATTAAAATCATACCAATCCGAATCCGATCCGAAAATCGAAATTTTAATAAACACAATCCGAAATCCGAAATTGAACGGATCGGTTCGGATTTCGGATATCCGATCCAAATGAACAGCCCTAACTTGAGTCCCTATTGAACATCGTTGTCCTAGGTTTTTCCCTTTCAATTGCTCTCCTTATTTGAAAAAAATAATACTACTACAGTCAAACCTCTCTATAACAGCTCGTTTGTTTTGAATATTTTTGGATGTTATAGTGAAGTGTTGTTATAGAGAACATATATTATAACATAACATAAAAATTGATTCCGAAAAAGCTTGGCATTTATAGAGAAGTATTGTTATTTAGGAATGTTGTTATAAAAGGATCTAACTGTAGTACATTTGTAAGATTATTATGCTAGTGACAAGGACCAATTTCGTTGATGTGAAATGAAAATATAGCATAGAAAGATCATTAATTCCCAGAAGCAGCTACTATTTGAACTTGCACTTTCAAGAGTTAGAACCATAACTCTGAGCCATATAATTCCTATCAAATAAAAGTGCATGGAAAATCTGAAAAGAACAATGACCTTAAAGAATAATAAGGGGCGTTCCGAGAATCGAACTCGGGACCTCTCGCACCCAAAGCGAGAATCATACCACTAGACCAAACGCCCTTATTGATTAGACAATTTCTATTAATTTTAATTGACTCAGAACTATGGTAGAGCGGTATTCTCTTATGACCGCTATTCTAATCAAGAGACTAAAAGTCCCCTATTTAAGATAGGTCGCCAAACTACGATCGAGAGTCTGATCTTATTAGATTACTCTGGGGTTTCAAAACTTCATATTCAATAACCAGGAAGCTAGTCTTCCGGTTGATTTAACTGCAGCACTTGATATTTTAATAACAAATTAATATTACATAAGGCTAATTGATCATAATGGTTACCTTTTACACCATTGACTTTGAAACTTGCAAACTAATTATACATATTTCATAAATCTTGGCTGAATGAAGAACAAGAATATTCCTAGCATCAAATCAATTCCCTAGTTGGCCTTGAGTGCATTATCTTTCTGGTATTCTAATCATGTTACCCCATTTTGAGAACATTAAACTATGAACAAGTTGATTCATGGTTGACATCAAAATGTATGTTAGATTCTTAAGTTTTATGCGGCTGATTTTACACCTTGGAGTAGTAGTACAAGTGGTCATTATCACTTTATCAGCTTTTGAGGTTCCTGTCGAATTATCATGATCAGATGCCTTAACCAAGTTGACAATATTTGATGGCAATACTATTCATTTGAATTTTTCAAATAGTTTTCAGCATTTCTCACTATCCTTAAATAACTGGCCTAAACTTCCGCTTGTTTGGTTATTAATGGAGCTGACATGCGCACTATATATTTTCAGATCTCAGAAAAAAGGGAAATTCTCATTTGCAAATATATACCGATAGAACCTTGCAAGAACCCAAATGTTGAGAGACAATTCAAGATTTACATACAACAAAAGCACTTGGTAAATATACATATTCTTTTTCAAAATTTTATGCACATCTAATATGTAGACACATATATACATATATGGATAGATATATCGAGTCCAAATATCTGGGGATGAAATCAAATTTTGCAAATTAAACAGTAGAAGCAACCGTAATGGAATTAATACTCTCTTTTACAAATCTATATACTATAATTTAGAAAAGAACATGCAAATTATGAAGTGCATCTACTGTCGTTAAATCTCCAATAATTTGTGTCTCTAATGGAGCCTCATGCACCCATGAGGTTGTGTGCGTCCTAGGCAACCTAGACAGAGGCGAAGCAGTGTATTACATACGGGTTCAACTCAACCCATAACTTTTGACGCGGAGTAAAAATTTGTATGTAAAAATTTATTAAAATTACAAAAATAGTAGATATGAACCCATAACTTTAAAAATATAATGGGTTCAATGTTAAAAACCTTAAAATTGAACCCTTAGGATTTAAATCTTGGATTCGCCTCTGAACCTAGATACTCTGACGCATACAAGGTTAGTGATTAATTTCACGGCTTAAATTATTAACTTAATAAATCACACAAAAATAATTTTAATGTTGCTCCAAGAAGCTTATTGTTACTCCTTCAATTAACTTGAAAATTTTGAACTTTAAGAAAAGGAGGAAATAGTAAGGGAAAGTGTGAAAAAGATTCGTACGTGAAAAAACATGTAGCTAGCAAAGAAGCACAGTTGGCACGTCGCTGTCACAAATAACAACTTGCAATTCGTAATAGAGGAAGAAGAACATGGTAGTCTAAGACTCTACGTCAAGAAAGTTTGTCCACATTGAAGATTTTAAGATTCCTTTACCAGCAACTACTAAAGTCGGCCAGTTATAAATTACTTAATTAACTGTAAATCTAAAAAGCTTTTTGACCTCTCTCTCTTTCTCTCTCTCTCTCTTAACGTAATTAACGGATTAACCTACCCTTGAAATGGAAACTTAAGACCATATTTTCTTAATTACACCGTCCACCTCTATATTTTCATACTGCTTTGTGCGACTTCACAGATTTGGTGTGACTTTAATTTCTCAAGGGGCTGTAAAACACTAGTACGATACTCAACAGTAAGTTGTTCTTGTAAATTGTTTAACTTTTATACATTGATAGTGTAAAAAAATTTATACCAGTCAGATCACTTAAAAAATAGTAATATTATATCACTCTGTATTCTTAAAATTAGAGGAATTTTAAATTTTATGCACAGATGGCGTACAATTATTTGCACGGTTGAATTATTTATTAGGTGATTATAAGTAAATTTCTTAATAAGATTAATTTATAATTAGATAAAAATGATGAACCTACTATTATTACATATTAAAATGTACTGATAATATAAAAAGAATCTTATTACATGTATACCTAGTTAATTTTTTTTAAAATATGTATATATACTATATAATGACACTTGTTGATTTATTGATGAGTTTATTTCTTTATGTTTGACTTTCCTAAATGAAAATTCCGGCTCCGTCGCCGTAGCAAACCCGTCATATATATATATATATATATTATATATATATCATCATCAATCCAGTAGTTGTATTAATGACATGTGCTTGTGTTTGTTCATTATTTGCTGTCTCGCCTTAGACAATAAGAGGTGCCTTACTATCATTTCTCTCTGAAGAAGAAGAAGAGAACTTGCTTAGGGTAAGATCAAGGTCAGTTTCATGATTCTCATATACTTGTTGTTATCGTTTCCCATTTTATCTCTTGATCTTTTTTACTAACTTGTTAACTTAACTCCAGGGTCATGTATATTTCCAGATCCTTGCTTCTTCAAACTCTCAGCAAGAAGTTCTCTACCCAAATAGAAAGGTGTGTTAATGCTCTCTCTCTCTCTCTCTCTCTCTCTCTCTCTCACACACACACACACACACACAGAGTCACTGTCGTCACATGGCCGACCTTCTTGGATAAGGAAAAGATTAGGTCCCTCCATTTCTTGGACACATGTGCACTCGATCTTATGTTGTAGAAGAAGTCAAGAATGGTTTTTATTTTCCGAGAAGATTACATGTGAGGTTTTTGCTTATTAAAATTAGATTACTTTTTTGCTTGACCGCTTTAGTAAATTAGGAGAGAATTTAAATTTTTTTCTTTCTAATTTTATCCTTATCTACAATCATTTCCCAAACTAATTGGAGTATTAAGTAATTAATCAAATTTTGATTTTTAAAATACAGTGAAGATAATTTAGAAGTAAATACTTATTTAATCCTTTCTTAAGGAGAGTGTAAAATGTAAATTGGACAAGCAAAAAGGAATGGACTGTAGTAGTTGATAAACAAGGAGTAGTTTTTGCATCTTTTTGCTATATGTCACAGTAAGGGACGATGAAAATAATTAATGAGGCCATTTTTTTACCATGCAAATGTAACCACAAGTTGAACTTAATGACTTTACCTAGACAATAGTAGTCAAGAAGTTATTACAATTCGAATTCATGATAATATAGTTCAAATTGTACCTCTTGGTTACTACTACTAAGTTATCCCCGAGTAAATTTTATAGGTGGTCTTCAACTTTGTATTCATTACGCAAAAGTCATTTTTCTTCTTTTTGTTACGTAAAAATCATTCAATTTTGTATTCATTATGCAAAAGTCATTTTTCTTCTTTTTGTTACGTAAAAATCATTCAACTTTGTGTTTATTACCTAAAAGTCATTTTTCTTTTTTTTGTTAGACAAAAATCATTTTACTTTGCTCTATTTATCACAAGTCACCTTGGCCAGATTTTATAATACTTTTACTAAAAAAGTCTATTATGCCCCTGACATTATAAATTCTCTCAGTTATGTAATACCTTCTATATTATATACTAGATAATATATTTTTACCAAGATATTTTACATATAATTAAAATAACATAAATTTATTTATTTATTATTTTTATAATGTATCCATACATTTAATTTTTTCATGGAACTCAATTTGTTTAATTATATTCAAACATGAACATATTTTAAATATAAAAATGATTTATTATTTATTTGAATTAATAACAAACAAATTTGTTTAACAAATGATAGTTTTTTATAGTCAATAAAAGTTTTAAAAAAAGTTTCAGAGATATTTGTGTTTAATATTATAATTTAAAAAAAATTATCTATTAATATTATTTATTTGAAAGTATTAATTTGATGTGTCATTGTGCCAAATATGGGTATTTTATTTATTGGATTAATGAGTATGGCTTGGATGATAAACCAGTGAGCTTTAATTTTATAATTTTCATTAAAAATATTTCATTAAGTATGGTTAAGAACATGGACTTGAGATTTTTTCACAGTAACATTACTGACAAATTTAATAATGCTACTTGTATATCTTGAAAATTAACGTTAAAAAAAATTAAATGTACGAATATATTATAAAAATAATAAATAAAATAATATCTAAGTTATTTTAATTATAAGTAAAATACCTGGGTAAAAGTATATTATATAGCATATAATATAGAAGGTATTACATAAATGAGATGATTTATAATGTCAAGGGCATAATAGACTTTTCAGATGAAAGATTTGTAAAATCTGGTCAAAGTGATTATTGTGATAACTAGAGCACAGTAAAATATTTTTTGTGTAACAAAAGAAAGAAAAATGACTTTTAGGTAATAAACATAAAGTTGAATGACTTTTACATAACAAAAGAAAAAAAAGTGACTTTTGGGTAATGAACACAAAATAGAATTACTACTCCTTAGTAAAATTATATACTACTCCATGTTTAATGTATTCTTGTAAACTGGGAACTACGTGATACTTATTCTCTCCATAACAAAAGACACTACTCTCTTATTACTACTACTACCTTTTTTGTGGTCCCTTGTTTCTCTTTTATTTTCTTTTGCGGACCCTCTTTCCCTTTTCTGGTAAAAGGTTTAATTAGCGAAATATATAACCAATGGAGTAGTAGTAGTAGTATATGTAAGCACTAAGGTACAAAATATAGGAGGAAGAAACGATGCTGTTTTTTAAGTTGCATAGAATTAACAATATTACCGCAGCTCGGGATTACATCAAATTCGGAAAAAGTTGGCTTAATACTTAAACGCTATACTTGAACATTTGCTAATTATGATAAGTTCTTTGATATTAACCACAGATAGTTGTGGTGGGATGGATTTCTAAGATTTCTCCATTAGCTAGATGCCTCGAGTTCAAGGCATGGGAACGGAAAAATCTTGATAGGAGTACACTTCTCCTTACACGAAGCGAATGTAAATTAATCAAGACCCCAAAGCAGACACCAAACACCGGGTGAAAAACAAAAATAAAAATAAAATCTGATGATACTTGTTTTAAGTTAAGAATCAGTAACTGAATTAGACAATATTATGTAAATTCAGGAAATTAGAAGGCAAGATAGCAGTAATCACTGGGGCAGCAAGTGGCATAGGGAAAGAAACCGCAGCCAAATTCATTAATCATGGAGCAAAAGTAGTTATCGCCGATATACAGAGACAGCTCGGCCAAGAAACCGCAAGTGAGCTCGGACCAAACGCCACATTTGTGCCATGCGACGTCACAAAAGAATCTGAGATTTCCGACGTAGTGGACTATGCCGTTTCCCAACATGGACAGCTCGACATAATGTACAATAATGCAGGTAAAAGAGAATTCAATATATGTAAAGTGAATGCATGTGCACTGTCGTGTCCTTAATGATCAGACCACAAATAAGAAGTGCACCTGCTACATTTAAATTCTGAATCTGTCTATTATTATACAGGGATAGCGTGTCGAACATCGCCAAGCGTAGTTGACCTTGACCTTGCACTATTCGACCGTGTCATGGCCATTAACGTACGAGGCGTGGTGGCGGGAATCAAGCACGCCGCGCGTGTGATGATCCCGCGGGGCCACGGTTGCATTTTGTGCACGGCTAGTGTAACCGGGGTGATCGGAGGACTCGCGCAACCTACTTACTCAACTTCCAAATCAAGCGTGATAGGAATTGTAAAGTCTGTGACAGCGCAGCTGTGCAAGCAGGGAATAAGAATCAATTGCATATCTCCATTTGCTATTCCAACACCCTTTTCATTGGACGAGATGAAACAATACTTCCCTGGAGTGGAATCTCAGGACCTTGCTAAAATCTTACACAGTGCTAGTGAGCTCAAAGGAGCATATTGTGAGCCCATTGATGTAGCCAATGCTGCCCTTTTCTTGGCTAGTGAAGATGCTAAGTTTATTAGTGGCCACAATTTGGTAATAGATGGCGGTTTCACCTCATTTAAAAGTTTAAACTTAGTAGATCAAGTGCAGTGACGTTCCATATAAAATTGATATGGCATTTGATTCTTTTCTAGAGTTTTTTGTTACTCCAAATCAAATGCATAGCCTCAGGGTGCACAAACTAGTTTGTGCTGAATATCGCGGAACAGGCATATTGACCTTAATGTTTTATTGCTTATAGACTACCTTTCTGGAATAAAGGCCAAGCAGGCACATCTTTTCCAGACATTACCTTCAAACTATTGAAACTATAACAAGAAATTATTTACAATATGTAATCTAACATACTATCTGATTTTCAAAAGTAAAAGAAAAACCAATCTCACAATATTTTGATGTATCTTTTTTTCCCATGTAAATCAATTCGCAACTGGAAGCTGAAGGAGCATCCATATTGAATAAGAAGAGTTCCAGAAAGCTCTTCTATTGGCTGGCAAACAAGATCCTGGGCTTAGCACTGTCTGATTTCGGTAAAAAGCTGTACCTTTCTTCTAAAAGAATCAAAATTGCTCATATACAATCCTCCGCATAAAGTCTTCTGGTGCTGCAAAAAACCAGGAGTTGAAAATTTTATACCATTGCTCAGTAAGAGAATTGTGATAAAGCTATTGCATTAGGTCAGGTCTTTTCAAGGGAATTATAGCGAACTAATTGGAAGTAAGGAGGTCCTATGCAAGACATTAAGATTTACCCAAGTTAAGCTAAGCAATATTAGTAAATTTTGTATATAAACCCCTCCGCTTGCTGCATAATAGAACTTCAGTTATGTTCAGTGCTTAGCAATATGCCCCTGGTCTAGGATATATGGGGCAAGCAGACCGAAGGTTCTTTGTTATTGTGTAAAGAAATTATTTGATGGAGGAGAGAATAGCTACCTAATCCATTGGTGAACAATTTGAACTGTCCAATTGCCTGCCTGACGAACATCTCAACCCCACCCACCACTGCAGCTCCAACCTCTGTAGCCTCCTGCAATAGCCGCGTGTTTCTAGGTGTGTAAACTGCATCAAATACTAGCTCATATGATCTCAAGGCCTCCTGAAACAGCGGAAAGGATGCAGAAAACGTTTGATGTCAGCATTCTCTCATGCAAACAGAGAGGGTCACTTTTGTTAAAAATACTGCAGTGCAAGAAAGACAACCTTGGAAATAGGAGTTTGATCTGTCCTTGGCTGCATGCCTACAGCAGAAGCATTTGCAAGAATCATTCCCTTCTCAGGGCAGAAATCGTTTAGTTGTTCATATGGCAAGGCTTCACCAGATACTGCTGCGGCCAGAGCTTTTGCTCTCTCTTTTGAAAAGAAAAAAAGGATGTGATAAGTGAAAGGAAGACGTAAATGAATGAAGATCAAAAGACAACCATAATTCTTAAAGAGATAGGAGGCAGTACCGTATTTGCGGTTAAATATTACAACCCTTGCCCCTCTACTTTTGACACCAAAAGCAATAGCTCTCCCAGCACCACCTGCTCCAACTAATACGAACAATTTTCCAGCAATTGGAGAAACATTTGATGCATGGCCATTGGTCTTTTGTCTCTCTGTTTACACACAATAATTGGAACTGCTTATGTTATTGGAGTCAGAAGTGCTTGAAATGGTTTCCTAAGAAGTTTCTACATTTTCTTTTGGGAGGGCTACAGACCGAGGAGAGGGAAAGGAATAAGAAAATGAAAAACAGTGGTATTGTCATTGTCTAATTTGTAAGATAAAAAGATGTAAGATTATCTGGATTTCGGGAAAATCTTTTGTCTTGCAAAGTGACCCACTAAACTAAATTGATTAAGTTTTTTTGCTTGTACCTTTCTACTAAGAACATTAGAATTTTTTTAAAATTCTGATAAAGAACAAATCAGTACCTCTAAGTGCATCCTCAATTGCCGTCGCACAAGCCTCACAATCTGTATTGTAACCAATGAGCTTGCCATCAGAAGGTCTCCTTATAATTGTGTTAACAGCTCCTATAGACTGATTTCCAAAAGCATGATGCATTTTAGAACGCTTTATTAATAAGAGAATGTAGCCACAAAATAATTTGATATGGCTAAACAAAAAACAACTGTATAAAAATGCCAAGTCCAAACTTTCAAAATACTGATCTAATCTATAGAACAAAATGTTTGTCCATGCAAGGACAAACACCTAGAAATCTGTGTATGTGCGTGTGTATGTGTGGATGCTGTAACACCTACGCGACCAGTGTAATAGTGCTACTTAGGCTGCCTTCAGCACTTAACCGTAATGGACTAAGGCAATCATCCATAGCTCATTTTGGAAAAAGAGAAAAACCTGAATTCTACTATGCCTAATATGATAAGGTAATTCAAGCACACCCAGGATGGTCAGCTTTTGTTTCCTCTTAAGTATATGGACACCTCTTGTACACATATAAAACAGAGTGATGTTTATAAGTATTCATTATATAAGAACTAGTGAAGCTGAACCAGCTTCGGCAAAGACATTTTGATAAGATTGTGCATTTTGTGGTTCTTCAACCCCCCAAAATCAAAATCAAATTATGCAACATACAGCAAATCTCAAGATTAAGCTTGGTTTAGTGTACCATGGAGGTGTGAACATTAGACTTGTTTATAACCGGGTTGAGCTGCTTTGATTATTTTCAGGATAAAGTTGAACACCTTGATATTTGAATTAAACAGAAAAAGCAAAGACAGAATACACAAAAGATAGAGACATCTAAAAGAGCATAGTTTTACACTCATGCACTCACAGAATGATGAATTTAAGACAGAAATAAACATGGTATGGTCATCATTTTGGAACTAATCAGACCTTAGCAAGTGGATCTACTTCATCACAGCACCGTACTGCTGCTTCCTTATGTGGGAGTCCAACACTACACATTCCATCAAAAGGAAGAATATCATGCATTAGATATTTTTACATGAAGACAATTTTAGGAAAATAAAACATATAGGAAAGTAAAATATTGCAGGGTACATATCTTCACATCCCAAATGTTTAATGCAAGTGAAAATTTCAAACTAGTAAGATGAGTGTTGCTTATATATGGCATACATTTATGCTTGACGAGTAGGAATCTTTAGATATTCCTAATACAATCTGGCAGTTATTCATCAGTATGCGGCACAGAACAATTTTAGCTTGTACATAAGGAGCATACCTAAAACCAGCATAGTCATTGCATGAGAAGACCCGAAAAAATTCCTTGATATTATCAACTAGTAGAGGCACATATATTCCATTGTATCCTGTATGTCTAAAGGCAGGGTTGTGCAGAAGAGGGCCCTTGCTATGGCCAACAGGATTAGAGATTACACCAAAAACTCTAGTATCTTGGTTCACATATTCCAGTTTATAAACGTCTTTAATGCTAGTCAAAGCTGGCAAGCCAGGGTTGGATTTGCCTCCTAAAGATCCACAAACAAAGAAAGCACCATATTTTGGACCCAATAGTTGGCTTATAAGACCTCTATCTCCTGCTGCCCTGGCAATTAGAGGCACCTGCATAGAGACCTTATAATGAGGCAAAAAAGTACCTCATTCTCAGTTTTAAAAAGAGAAGTTCAACAAACTTATCACTACTCACAAGGAAACTAGCATTAAAAGATTTTCTTTACAACCATATAAGCCCAAGAGATGGCTGCAGATACAAATAAGAGGCCATATATATGGAAGAAAATATGAGAGTATTTTCTAATGAACACTTCATCGCAGAAAAATTAAGTATATCAACAGCAGTTCGCGTAGAAAGATTTTAAAGCAGACCCCTTTTCTCTCTTCTTGTCGGTAAGTTGAATTGAGCAAGTATACCATCAGAGGGGATGCAATGTAGTTTCCACGGGTTCAAGAAAACCCAGTATCTTTTACACGGATGATAACTATATATGTGAATGATCACTAAAATTGCAACGAACGCAGTAGTGAGAATATAAATACTGAACACCTCAAATTTATCAATAGGTGTAAAGCTAAAAGCAAGTTGAGGGTGTGTTTTTGCAAGGAAAAAGTGCAAGTTAAAGCAAGAAAAGAAATACCTGACAATGTGTAAGCATATGAAAAACTGGTGCAACATCTGTAATATAAGCTACATCAATCACTAATTTGATGATATCTGCTCCTGTTGACTGCAGGTTTGCAATTAAATTACAAAGTCTCTCTTTTGTAGGATTTCCACCATTCACATGACTGGAGGCAATTATCTTGCAGTTCGATCGTTTGGTCATTAATTCACAGATGACCTCATCGCAAGCAACCTATAAAGTTGCAAAGAGTTTAATTTCTATAAGCTGATTATGTAAAAAATATATAACCTGATAAAAATGATAGTAAACCTGCTATCATTGTTAAATCATCATATAAACATAAAAGAGGAAACTTGTACAATGATTTACTCTCTTAAGCAAGATTCTTTTTTGATTATTTTGATTTATTTAGCTTCAATAAAACTGTATCAATTAGAGAGTAATTTGAGAAAATCAGTTGGACTAACCTCGCGGTCAACTTCAACGAACTCGACGTCCAATTCAACAGCCAATTTCAGAACTTGCAAGCATGTTTTCTTCCAGTTTTCTCTGCAAGAATATCTCGGCGAATTTGGCCTGAGAAAACAAACCCCAAATTCTCAATCAGCAAGATTTCGCAAAGGTTCAAGCTTTTGGTCAATTCGCCTCACTTTTTGGCAGATTGGATCACAAAATCGAAGAGAACCATTTTCAGTAATTGGAGTAAAATGTCAACAAATTCCCAATCAGTAAGATTTTCGCAAAGGTTCTAGCTTTTGGTCATTTGGCTTCACTTTTCTTGCAGATTGGATAATAAAATCAAACATAAACATTTTCAGTAATTATATCAACCATTATCAAACTAGTTGTGCTAATACCTTCTTTCTCTGTAATCTTTTTTAAGTTTATCTTTTAATTACTTGTACCTAAAATCACAATCTCTGGACAACTTACAAGTTACAACACAAACATAGAAAAATTTGGTTGAAACAAAAACCATAAAAATTTTGGTGAAAGGTTTTTAGAACATACAGTAGCTTTTTGATGATAAATTGTAACAAGGAGCCTCCTTTTTTAACCTAAAATTTAG